TTGAAGTTGCTATAAACATTTCTTTTTTTAATTACACCACTTGAAATCATTTCAGTGTGGCTGGTGAAGTGAAGGTGATGCATGATTTGTGCAGTGACGGTTTCACTATATTAGGTATTTCCATCTACTATGTTATGCAAACCAGGTTAAACAACGTAAATTGAAGATGAGCAAGTTATTGGCAAATTTTTTTAGATCTGTTGCAAGACTGTGAGACAATTAAGCTATTGTTGATCCAAATTAAAAAAAACCAACACCATAATCAAATATTTTAACAAATATTTCTTAAAAATCTAGTTTGAAATATCCTCTAAGCCATATGTACAATTCAACATTGCCAAAGAAATTTATGACCAGGTGCAGATTCAGTGGTGGGCTTCTTAGTCATATACTGATTCCATTTTTTAAAAAAAAGATATATAACATAAGAAAATAGAGAAGAAATTACTATCTTCATTATAAATGTGTATCATGACAATCCTCACTCCCAGTCCACAACCTGTTATATATATTTCTGTATCAACAGCCCTCAATTACAAAGGTATTCATGCAGACTTGTTTTTGAGTACTCAGAAACAAAAAACAAGTGCTAAGAACTATAAGGAGCTAAAATGATAAATCAGCTTTGAAAGTTTTGGTTAATAAAACTCAGAAAATATATATGCCCGAAAAAGACAATATAAAAAAAAACATGTTGACAGACACAAAATATTTATTTGTAGACAACCGGGGGTTTCTCTGAAAATACCCAGCATTTAAAAAAAACTAGACTTAGTAGTAGAGAGAATACAGTGCAGCAGTTCTGATTAAAAGAGGCATATTCTAACAAAACACCAATTAAGTCATTGTGGAATGCGTTTCAAGATGGACATATAATATAAGTGCTTAGCTAATGTGATGTATCAGTGCAGTGTTGAATATAAGGCTGAATGGACCTTGAGCATCTCCAACAGCTAATAGAAGTGGTTAATAATCACTTTTCTTTTGTTTAATCAAACAGATTTGCAGGGATACATAATACTAATGAATTAATTCTGTGGCCTAAGTTCTAGCAACTTTATCAGACACAAACATTCACATTTCGGACTGGTCCTTTCCTGCTTTATGTCTTTATTTTGGTCGAGCAAACTTTAATTCAGCACAAATAACTGAGTTCTTTTTTTTTTAAAATAATTTTAGCCAACAGATATTGGATATTCAATTTTACCTTAACTAGAAAAGACGCCCAATTTATTTATAACAATTAATAAAATGAAATTAATATAAGTATAACATGAGTAATGTGTAACACGCCATAAGTGTATATGAATATATAATATAGTAGTTTCAAGCAAAAATAAAGTCCTTTGAACCATTGAGCAAATAGGAAAAAAATCCTTTTCGCTCCCGGGTGTGTTTTTTTAATAGTGTTACAAATAAATGTTTACCAGGAACTATGCAGCAGAGGATATTTATTTCTAATACAATGCTTGGCTTCTGTTTAAGCAAGAAAGTTTCCATGGGAGGAGCATAAAGAATTGCTGGCTTTTCTTTTCAAATGACAAAATTTTCTTAATAGCTCACTGTTGAAAACTCAGTTGTGTTTTTGTTGTTTTTTTTAATGAGTTAAATACTAGGGGAAAGATCCATTTCTGTTGATCATCACAAAAAAACTGGAACAGATAAACTGTTGAAAATTAGTTGACTTAAGATTGAGGTTCTTAGAACCAGGACATAAATATCAGGTAGGTTCACTTCACATTGCATAATTTTCACCATCTCCTGACACAAAAGTTCAATGTGGCATATGGGAAATTGGTATGTACATGTATCACAATTACAGTAGGCTGTAATAACACACACATTTACTTCCCTTGCACATTTATTGTTAGCACAAACACATTTACTTCCCTGGCATTAGTTAACACACAAACATTTACTTTCTTTGCACAATTGTATTTAACAAGAGCTTTAGCTATTTCTTTTAAATTTAAAAAAAAAAAAAAAAATGTATACCAGCATTCATAAGATTTCAAAACAATTTACCCTAAGAGAAATGGTGGTTGTAAAAAATAATTGTCTATTTGGAGATAGTATAAAACAATGAATGTAGTCACATCCAGAAAAGGACACAACACTGAAACAACCACAATGATGTGAGTCAAGTGTTTATACTGAATATTATAATGTAATCACAGCTTGAGTTGTCTCAAAATGACTTAAACATAATCACTGTTATCTTATGATAACTTAGCGTATTATGCTTTGGTTGATATTATTAAATGTGCCAGCCATGATATGAAATAACCGACAAGCTTAACATTCCAATTCATTGCCCATAAAAACAAAGTGATGAGTAGAGTTGAAATTGTCCCTCATCTCATAAAAAATTTGACAGTCAATGGTACTTGAAAAAACCAAAAACTGATAATTGCAATGCAGTGCGTTTCTCAAAGTGCTGAAGGGAAAGACGGTTCTCAAAGTGCTGGAGGGAAAGACGTGTGGGGGAAAGGAAAAAAGTGTGTGCATGGGGGAGGGGGTGGGGGGGTGTTGAAGAGAATGGTGAAAAGAATGTAAAGACATGGTAGCACAAGTAAGTATGGTATACATCCACATTACCAACTAAATCACTCAATGTTTTTTGAGCTGATATTGGTCTTATATGGATTACAGTGGGATGTCAAAATAAAATACTAATTGTAACAGTGTTTTAAGTCAGTGGGGCTATAAACCAAATAAGTTAACAGAGACAGCTTTTCAACTATAAAATACTTCTACTTCCCTAAAAAAAATTATATAATTGTCTGACATTAACAGAGAGGTACAAATTCATGAAAACCATTACTGTACAAGAAACAATGTAATAATATAGGGGGGTGGGCGGGTGTGACTGAAATAAAGTTGTAAAATAAGAAGCACACAGTAAAGGAAAACTTGATAGACAACACTACTGACAGAATTTGACGGACACTGGGGACATGTACCAAGGTGTAAGTCAGCATGTGTTTCTTATTTCCTTGTGACTGTTCACTTGTCAGTAAGTCGACAGAGTGATGACTAATCTCCAACAACCATTGGAGTCAACATTAAAAACTACAATGGCAAAAAAAAAATAAAAATAAAACATCCATATTCTGGTACTGAAAAAAAAAACAATGAAGATATATTTTTAAACTATGGTCCCTCAAAACGGATGCCCAAATTTGTATTTTTGAAAAGCACCTTATAAAATTGTATCATCTAAATTTATTTCGGTGTAGTGAATCTTGATAAATATACTTTGCGCTACAACTAACATTGGTCACTGTTTTTGACATGTTACAGTTAAGTAATATAATTGTGGACAAAAGATTTTGCAATATTATTTGCAGGGTTGAATACCTTCCAAACATGGGATATTCCATGGAGCCATTTCCAGTACATCCCTAGTTGAAAATAAGAAACCTGTAACTTACTCAATGTTACAATTCTACATGTTACAATTCTACAACTATTAAGCTTGTTTTTAGCTGTGAAAGACTGTGGAAACAACAGGTGCTTTACTCTCTAATCATGGCATCAAATAGACATTACAGGAACCATTAGTATAATGGTCCATGCAAATTGTTCATGTTCATAAATCCTAGGCCTGAACTCAAAACTCTACAATGAGATATGTAACACATTTACCCCAATGTCATTTGATTCATTGGATCCTGTTTATAAGATATGCAGCTTTATTTACAACACCGTCACTTGATTCACGTGAGTCTAATTTTTTTATACGTATCACCTTTTACCACCATATTTTTTTAAATTCTCTTGAACCTATTTAATAGTGAACATGAAATAAAAAGATCTCCTTGACCTAATCATCAGAAGAAGTTGGTCAATGATGTCAACATATAATTATAATTAGATTTATTTATCTTAAAAGGTAATTAATTATTTGAGTTTCATTATCAGCAGCATGGATTGTTACTAGAAAATTATAGCTATCCAAATTTTTATTTGAATATACATTTAAACTGTTATCCTTATGAAATTTGTTAATGTCTTAAAAATTTGATTTAAAAAAATATTATGTTACATCTTTGCACTGCCAAGCTATGACTAGGCTGCACTGCCAAGCTATGACTAGGCTATGTGTCAGCTTTGTTACAGAGAACAAGAATTTTTTTTTTGTACTATTGCCCTGGTAGCAACTTTAACATTGAAATGTTATATTCTATACAAAATTTTGACACAAAGACTAGACAGTTCAGTAAAGACATAATTATGAAATTAAAAGTTTAAAAGTAAAACAGTCCACACAATTCAAAAAGGTAATTTGCAAATTATTTTCAACACTTAAGAGATGACACCACACACACTGACTGGCTATTTCCTGCCCATACTGCTCTATTAAACACACACAAACATCATACATTATTCACATCATACAGCATTCACATCATACAGCGTTCACATCATACAGCGTTCACATCATACAGCGTTCACATCATACAGCGTTCACATCATACAGCGTTCACATCATACAGCGTTCACATCATACAGCGTTCACATCATACAGCGTTCACATCATACAGCGTTCACATCATACAGCGTTCACATCATACAGCGTTCACATCATACAGCGTTCACATCATACAGCGTTCACATCATACAGCGTTCACATCATACAGCGTTCACATCATACAGTGTTCACATCATACAGTGTTCACATCATACAGTGTTCACATCATACAGTGTTCACATCATACAGTGTTCACATCATACAGTGTTCACATCATACAGTGTTCACATCATACAGTGTTCACATCATACAGTGTTCACATCATACAGTGTTCACATCATACAGTGTTCACATCATACAGTGTTCACATCATACAGTGTTCACATCATACAGTGTTCACATCATACAGTGTTCACATCATACAGTGTTCACATCATACAGTATTCACATCACAGTATTCACATCATACAGTATTCACATCATACAGTATTCACATCATACAGTATTCACATCATACAGTATTCACATCATACAGTATTCACATCATACAGTATTCACATCATACAGTATTCACATCATACAGTTTGGTGTGTTTTTGTTGTATATAACCATCACCTTTTTTTCCCCCAAGGGGCCACACTGGCAAATAAAATAAAGAGCTGTAACTCCATGGTGGGTTCCTTGATGAAGTAATGATCAACAAACATTGGCATGGGTGCTCAACCGTGTCAGTCTCATTCATTCAGCAACAGGAAACCTTTTCATTCAGCCATGGAATCTTTTACAATTGGAAAGGGATGGCCCTCGCTGTTAAAAACATAGTCATCTAAAGAGATCAGACGCGGATCATCGCTGAACAGCAGATACAAGTACTTTAAAGTCTCAGACAGGAAAAAACTTTCCATTTTATCTCTGAATCTCGGGTTGCCGGCGTCCTTCACGTTGTTGATGGACGAATAGCCGGACTCTTTCAGCTTGGTGTGCTTTTCAAAGGCTTTAAATATCTGCCAGCCCTGGTCTCTGTATTTTTGGTCCCCGGTGAAACGGTAGAGGTACATCAGGCTCTCCACCGTCTCAGGCCGCAGCAGGTTGTGAGCATCGAGAGGCTGGGAGGATGTTGGGAAAATCAATACATAAGCAAGTGAGATTTGAGCAAATGAAAAGTATCAGCAACAGTAACCTTTGGTAAATTTAGAAAAAATTCAAACAATAGATCAATATTGTGCAGGTGTCAATAAAATATGATATAATATACATAGAAGCAATGGGTCACTGACCAATTATTGTAACATATGTTTCTCATCTCTTTGTGCACCTATGTACTTCAAATTATTATTTTATAATGTGGAAAACAAATGAATATATTGTCGCTACAACTCTTCAAAAGCTCAAATCCAATTTTTCTTTTAAAAATTATTTTGGGCTTCCCCATGTTCTGTAAAAATATTTTTTTAAAAATTGCATAAGGGAAAAGTACTATTTCTAGCACATGATTAATCCCAATTTGTAAAAAGTTCATTTTAAAGTTACTATGTTTTAATGTCTCCTGTAAAATTTATAAAATCAAACTTTACAGAGTTACAGCAAAAAATAATAGGCTTTCCATTGTCAACAGTCTACAGGAAAGCAAAAAAGAAGAACAATTTAAAAAAAAAAAAAGGGGGACTTGGCACCAAAAATTTCTTGAGCCTACCTTAACAATAAGATCTTCACTAACTCCTTCAGCAAGGTTAAAGTAGGTAATCTCTGGGCTAAGCTTTGTGGGCATCCTGTTGTAGGTCTCCCAGCAGGTGTTCAGCACTTCTTTGCCACTCTCCAGGTACTCATCTCCCAGGCCATTGTGGTAGGCCAGGGCCAGGGTGCCTGGATAAAAGCAGGCCAAGTGGTCCTGTAACAAGTAAGTTAGAAGGCATCTGTCCATTGTAAGCCTTGTTGCATAGAAGCTCTCTACTTTCCAAAGTCTAATCTTCATCCATCCAGAGTGGTTACATTAGGTTCATAATGTAACATTTTTTTTTCCATTAAAATTTTTAATGTTTGCTTGTCCTAAGAGGCTTAGAACATATTAAATATATATAATATCACAATTTTAAAAATTATTTTTACTGTTGTTTCATTAAGGTTTTTTTTTTAAATGTTGACCAATTCATCCTCTAAAACAACTTTTATAAATATTTATGTTACCAAATTACAACTATACCATCTTGGGGCTGAAGTTTCGTCCATTCAGAAGTTCACCAATAAACAGAAGCTTGCTTGGCTCAGAACGTCGCATGAGTGACTTTTTCACCCCTTGATAACTCTCTATAAAATCATCTTTGAAGCTGCATAGTTATGAAGACAATGATTATTCAAGCTCTAAAATATAAAATCATATCCTTCATATCCTAACAATAAATAATGAAATCCTGAGTGAATCCTATGAAGTCTATGAACTGCTTCTGTCCTAGTTCTTTTTTGATAACTACTTGATGTTGTTTTTAAGATCTATGATTGCTTTCTGGTATGAGGCCCTGGTGTTTGTTTATTTGTTGTTGTTTTTTTAAATGAGAAAATACATGTGTGAAACTTTGTGTAAGTCTGTGAAGTACAGAAATGAACTTACAAAAATATTCCTATTTTCAATGAAAATATCTATCTTGTTTTCTAATCTTCAAATATGGATATTTTAGTTGCAGTTAAGAACAAATTTGATGCAAGTGGAACTAACTGCTACAATTCACAAATGCACAATTTTAGTATGAAATATGAAGTGGGTTAAGCGAGGGCTTCTTAACCCTTTTTTTTTTGCTCTTGGCTCACATTTTTTTAAAAAACCTTTGTGGCCCACTTCCTTATCAATTAATATAAAAAGACATTCATTTTTCAAACTTTTCATGATGCTGTGGTCACCCATATGGCCCACTTTTTGTTACATTGATAAAGAGTTTTGCTCTCTAATCTAAGTCTTTAACTTTCTTTTTCAGCATCAAAATATGTCTCTCTGTTAAGTTTTACATTTTTCAACACACTACAAGAATACTACCATTAAGTTCCAAGTGATACCCATTACTAAAAAATTCCAGATAGTTGCCACATTTCCCTTATACTCAAGTCATGTATGTATGCATCTACTCATATGCATGTTTCATCAAAGGAAAAGTATTTGACTCACACAGTTAGTTTTTTCCCACTTTGTATCCACTGTTTCAACAAATACTCATAGTAGCTATCAGCTCGAGCGCCCATTGTTATGGTTGAGGCTGGACGGAAATCTCCAGAGTTAGCATTTATAAATATTGGTACAAGTCCGTCTGTCTTGGGGAGTTCATGAACATGCATTGATACCTCATGCACATAGTCCTGACAAAGGAGGATACATTTTTTACTCAAGCATTAAAACATACACTGGATCAAATATCTAGTACCGGTATGGGGAAATATTGAATTGAATATATTATTTGAATAATTAAAATATTCAATCCTTTTATCAGTAATGAATTTTCATTTTTTTTTTAAACTAAAAATGTTCATTTTAGACAGTGAGATGTGTTGCCATTTATTTAAATAAATTTTAAAAAAAATATTTTATTTGTAATCATTGGGTAAAATTAAGAAAAATATTAACAAAATCTAGCAAAATTACTGGTAAAATGTATGAAAACATTTATTTTTTTTAGTCATCACCAGAAATTCACAATTTTAGATATCCTATATAAAAAAGTAGGTGTTTAATACAAGCAAATTTATTAAAATCATGTGACTATAAATCTACATGTGACTGGGGTTTACCTCATATTTTTTGTCTCCTGTAACCAAAGACAAGTCCCTAAACTCCAGCTGTATAGTGGTGACCTCTGATGTGCTGCTGTCAGGGCCCCACTTGGGTGGTCTAGCATCGGCAGTGGCAAGGTTGACATCAGAATATGGTATCTTAGAACCATGGTTGAATGCTGGCAGAAGCCGGTTGCCCAGCTCAATCTACACACAATTTAATGTGTTTTTGTTTAAAACTTTGTTAATTCAGAAAACATTTTTTCCTAACCTAGAATGGTAAATGATTAAAATTTTAATAACAATTTTGCTAAAGGGGAGGATTTATCTAGATTTACATTATTTATATTTTAAAAACACGAAATTTCTATACTCTAATAAAGTTAAGTGGGAGATCTTCACAGGGCAAAATATAAAAATATTCCGATCCCATAAATGGGTCAAAAAAACTTCTCAAGTGTGTCAGGTATGGCATTTGACCCTGACCATTGGCAACATGACCAAATGGTCTTTGGGTCTCTGGAATATTTCCTAGATATCCTGTTCCATACGATGTATCATGTGTATGTAAATTAGGAAATGACATCAGAGAGCCGTCTAGCCAAAGCTCTTAATGTCCTCCCCAAAGCAACCACCCCTTCAAACCCGAAAAGTGCCCTAACTATAGAGTCGTGAAGTGGCACATTGGAGATCTCCTCCTGCTAGGACAGCCCCCGCCATCTCAGCCTAAGGACATCCGGTTGGTTGGAGAAGTTGCTCTTAAAACAACTGCAGTTGACTTTCCCAGGGGTAAGAATGGTGCATTCCTTCTCCCTGCCTATCCCGGGGAAGCTTCGGACTCCCTCTAGCAAGGTTTTCTATAGTGGGTTTCTACACTGTAAATAGTTCACAAAGTAGCTGGAATGAAACAGTTGCCTAGGAACAGCCTCCTCTAGGGCTGTGTGCATCGAACCATTACCATGCCACCACCCACCTCATGCCTCATATCCATCATCAGCAACATAGGAATCATGATCCCTACCCTTTTTCTACCGCAGGCTCACACAATGAGGGTTTTGTTCTGTGGGTGGTCTAGGGGTCAGTGGCAGCACTTCTTTAGTCAGCATGCTACTATAAGCATGTTGACCAGAACCTCTATATAACTAAAATCACTTTAAATACTTCAAGATTATTATTATTACCGGTATTATGAGTGGTTTTATATAGCGTGGTACCCCAGCCTAGGACTGGGCTCACCACGCTGCACATACAATTTAACAAACATAATCAACTTAAAAAATTAATTAACATAAGTAAGTTAAATAAAACAAAACAAAGGTGTATTCACTCCACTCATTCCAGAACTATTTACATGTTAAGCCATGGCGGCACCCAGCAGCATTGTTTATCGGTCAGAGGGGGGAATCAGTCAGGATAGTAGAGTTTAAAGAGATGTGTTTTGAGTGCAGTTTTGAAGGCTGTGATGGTCGGTATATTGTGGATGTGTAATGGAAGAGAATTCCATTGTTTGGGGGCACAGAAACGGAAAGATTGTTCACCGTATGTTTTTGTGCTAGTCTTGGTGATAGAAAGAATATGCAGAACTGCAGAGGAGGGAAGCTGTCGAATGGGTGAATAGACAGAAAGAAGTTCAGTTAGATAGGAAGGGCAGCAATTCGAGAAAAAGTTGTGGCACAGAACAGAGATATTTGCTTGTACAAGGAGCCAATGAAGTGAATAAAGTAGTGGTGTGACATGATCACATTTTTTTGCCTCTAGAACTAACCTAGCAGCTAAGTTTTGAACCTTTTCTAAATTTTCTAAGAATTGTTATGGTGAACCTGACAGAAGGAGGTTGCAATTGTCAAGACGAAGGAGAAGAAGAGCATAGACTAGTGTTTTTGTTGCACTAACTGTGATGGAGCTGATTTGACAGATTTGACAGTATGCAGAGCGACAAATGTGAGAGATGTGATTATCGAGAGACATGTTAGACAGGATATAACTAGGATAAAATGTTAATAAAATCAGAAGAATTCACTTACAGCTCTCACTTTCATAATCTCATCACCAGTGAGATGGTAAGCTGATAGAAGTGCACCAAGATTTCGTATTGTAATCTCAAACAAGTTAACATAACGGTCAACATTGAATGTCAGGTGTTCTTCCACCCACTTTTTAGCCTCTTCATATTCTGGAATAAACAAACATATTACTTTTTCTGCAGGCCTTATAAAACGAATTTTAACTTTATATAAGGAATCCATTAATTTACAATTGGTCACATGTCATTTACCCCTGACTTAAAACATTTTTAAACGCATCCCACAGTAATTCATGTCAAAACTATAATAAGTGTTTCAGTAATAACATGTTTAAAAGTTGTGAGATTTTTTTACATTTTGTTTTCTTGTGGGAACTGGTTATATCACTATTAAACTTTTATTTCTATCCTTCCCAATAAACATAAGTATTGATTTATGAAGTCACTGAGACTCAAATTTAACTTAAGACTCAACAAGTTCAACAACTCATTGAAATAATGTGTAAAAATAAAAACAAATTTTTCGATTTACAAATTGAATAACCAGCCCCCCAGAAATATCAGCACAGCAATGTATTTTTTAAAAGGGGCTATTTTCTGAAAGTATTTCCTTCACAATTCACCAGAAATGTAATTACAATAGCTGTTTCGTAGGTGGCTGAAATGTGTTAATTTTAACAATTAGGATCTGGAAATTTCAAGTATTAGCACACCCGGCACATACACGGACCCAGCAAAAAAAAAATGGAAGCAGGTCTGGGTGTTTAAAAAAAACAGTTATCTTCTCATTTTCTAATATTGTGTAAATTTTACCTGAATTAAATAAATAATAATATAAAAATTACTACCAATTTGTGCGAAACTAAATGTAAGCTAAATGAAACTGCAGAACTCTGAAAATAATAATGTACTTTTGTCTTTGCAAGATGCATTTCTTTTGCTATGACCATGGCATTTTCTATTTACAATAAATATTTCATTTCACTTCCTGACTGGCTGATGATACTGAGTAGCCAAAGTGTGTGTGTGTGTGTGAGGAGCATTTCTTAGTTCTTTCACAAAGTTCATGAATAGTAATGTAATTTAACACTCATTTAATAAATGAAGCTAATTGCTTAATTAAAGGAAGACTAGGATGGTATCGCCATGATGATGATATAGATATTTATTAAAATTATATGTGTATGTTGGTATCAGAAAAATGAAAACTTCTACCAACAAGCGACCAGCAACACTTATGGAATTAGGGAAGCTTCATTCCTTGTTTAATTTTTGTTATGCTTATGTGTTAGGGCAGAGGTTTTCAACCTGTGGATCAGGACCCTCTCAGGGGTCGCCTGAAAAAATGTCAGGGATCGCTTGAGAATTTTGATAAATTAGAAGAAATTTGGCAGTTCCTTTTCATTTTTAAAAAATTACATTTAAAAAAACTGTACCCGGCTAAGTTCTCTCAGAAGTATGAGGTACCCGGAAGGCTTTTTATTTCCATAAAGCGAATTTTAAAGCTCATTTCATTATGAATTATCAATGATTATCATATTTTACGGACAATAAGACGCACCTTAATTTTTAAGCAATTTTTTTAAAAAATAACAAATTTTACCATTTTTACATTAATTTTCAGTATAAGACGCACCTGAACATTATAGGCAATTTTTCAAAGAAAAAAGTGCATCTTATAGTCTGTAAAATACGGTAAATACCTGCAATATTACTGTGCAGGGGGACAAGAGTCCTAGAATCTCACTATTTAAGAAATATACCTTCTTTTAAGCCCATAATAACCATTGTATCGAGGGAGTCCACTAGAGTAAGACCTGTACCGAACCACTCAGTCGATGTCTTGCTGATAGGGTGAAGTTCATCGTGACCCCAGGCATACTTTTTGTAAGCAGCCCAGGCATGTTTGAATGCAGACACTATTTCCTTTTGTCTGGCACTTTGGGTTTGGCCTGCAAAGTGAAAAGTTATGAAATAGACCAGTTGGTTAAACAATTATCAAATAGACCAGTAGATTAAACAATTATCAAATAGACCAGTTTGTTAAACAATTATATAATAGACCAGTGTGTTAAACAATTATGAAATAAACCAGTTTGTTAAACAATATTCAAATAGACCGGTTTGTTAACAATAAGTAAATAGACCAGTTGGTTAAACAATTATGAAATAGACCAGTTTGTTAAACAATTATATGATAGACCAGTTTGTTAATTATGAAATAAACCAGTTTGTTAAACAATATCTAAATAGACCGGTTTGTTAAACAATTATGAAATTGACCAGTTTGTTAAACAATTATGAAATAGACTGGTTTGTTAAACAATGACCATTTTAGATGCTGCCAAAATTCAGTCCCTGATAAATAAACATGACCATATATTAAATGACATACTGCACAATTAGAAAAATGGAATATGAGGTCAATCAGTTTGGGATGTGATAACCATTGTCTTGCAATATTTTGCACATGAAATCTTAGGAATATTATGAAAATGGTGACTATTTCAGGATAGCCTACTGCCATACCGGCATGTTAAGTTTAACCGAAAACATGTTATTATAATAAATATGGTACGTTTAACTTAAATAAGAACAAAGTTAATAAATTCTCACCAAAGAAATCATATGTTGATATCAAACTATGTTCTTCTAATGGTGGCATCTGAAATAATAATATATATAATATGTATAACATATGTCCTGGCAAAACAGCATAAATCCTATTATATTTGCCAATTATTGTAATTATTGTTTATTATAATGGTTAGACACAATTATCCACCAAATACACATACAGGTCAGCCATTACACCAAATACATTTTAAGGATGTTTTTCCTTTAATTCCTTTAATAAAAAAAGTTAACTAATTATAAAAAGTGTTGGACTGCAATAAAGCTTTAAAATATATTAATAAGACACGAACAAATTGTGTCAATAGAACAATTATTATTAAAGCTAACTCATATTGTTCTATTGACACAATTTGTTCGTGTCTTATTAATAAAAAAAGCAAACTGTATTCTTTCCTATGACCTCATTTTCACTTGGTAATTTAACTCTAACGGATTGATAAGAAGACACAGCGTTCACTACACATTTTTTTGAATGAAGAAACATAGTGTAATATTGGGTGAAAGTAACAGAAACACAGTGCAGTGAGTTAGACCTCATAACAATAAACATTTGCCTTTAAATTGTCGGTGGAAGCTGAATCAAGAGCAAACATCAAAAGGCAATAACATTTTAACTCTGATTTTTCGCGAATTGGTCATTGGTACTAACACTTCTTCATCTTACACTGACACTTACAAACACATAAATGAATATGTTGAGCTCAACTTTTTAAATTACATTTCTAATAAAAAGGAACCATCCTGCAGGACTAATGTTAATTTATGAGAAAATAACTTGGAGAAGATAGCTGGAATTTCACAGTGATAACTATGTTTAATTGAAAACTTAACAATGCAGAGATGCAACTATTGATAAATCAATTTTAAATGAGAATGACTTTTAAGTTGTAGACTGTACCATATCCTCTGTCTTATGAACAATATACAACTGAGAGACATTTAAATGCAAACTTGTATAGTATTTTTGTTTAAGCTATAGGTTCCCACATATATAATATATATATATATATATATGGTGGTAAAGACTGTCACTCAAGGATAGGACTGCACAGCCACTCGAGAAAATGCAACCCAAACCAACGGTGATGCACCATCGTCTCACGAGACGGAAGGATGCCGGAAGTAATATATATATTATATATATATATATATAAACTGAATGTTAAGGACTTGAACGTATATTGTGATTGCGTGTTGTTTGGAGAGTATTTGGGTAGATGTTGTTATTAAATCTTTGATATTTTGTGAAGTATTGCGCAAAAGGGGAATGACATATTTTTATTATTGTTGTGTAGTGTTGTCTTGTGAGTAATGGCAGTTGAGATTTAGTTAATAAAAATGCTGTATTTTAATATTAATAATCTATGGTTTGTGAAGTGAATATAATTAAACCCCTAGAACGAAGCCATCGAACCTTCGGATAGAACCGATTTGTAACACTGAATTTTAAATAGATGCAGACAAAACTTTTGTTATACTAATACAATAAATAATTATTCAATTGTCTGCCAAATAAATCTTTATTTAAAATCTGTTATTTTCTTAAAGCCTAAACCTAATCCTTAAAAATATTATCAATTAAGAACCAGCTCATATGTACATCTAAGAAAAGTAAGCAGTGGAGCAGTAATTATCTAGTCCCAACTAGATGACTATGCAAACAATATTACTGTTTGATGCTTACCATTTGATTGGCATTGTTATTTGCTGAAAGTCTTTCTGCCTCTTTTTCAATGTGTTGGTCAAGTTCAGCCTAAAAATAAAACAAGTCAACATAACATTAATACCACTATTTGAGTTAGCTGTAACATAAGATATGATGATATGACTTGGAAAAAAGTGGTTTATTGATTTTATAAGCACACTAGAGCATATTGATCAGCGAACCATTTGTTCTTTTCTCAGAGGGAGAAAAATCATATCCATCAAATTAGTGGAATATAAAACATCTATATCTTGAGCTAATGCAAGGTGTTGCCACTCCTCACTGTAAATGTAGGCCTTTTATAAATCTGGCAAGAAATTTCTACACTGACAAATAGTCTTTGTTTAGAATTTTCTCAGTCATCATAATTAATTGCTATATAATGGTATAGTATAATGAGATCACTGATCTTTTGGGATACTTTTTTTTTGTTGTTGTTGAGAGGCCAAGCCTTCTCTTATTCAAATAAAAGAAATCTGAACTCATTGCCTTATGCCTTCAACTATAGTTGGAAAATTCTCATTAAAAAGTGTATTTATTGCGATTGAAACTATAATATTTTGACACAAATACTTCTAAAGCAATATTTCTATTATATGAGATCATGCTTCATGAGTAGTTGCTTTGAACATTGGAGACAGAACACACACAAGTTTACTACTGAGCATAACTTATGCAAACAAATTTCATTTTAATTATAAAACCTAAAAAAAACAGTGGTCACCCTGGACTAAAAGACATTTTTCAATTAGACTTCATTGGTCAAAGAAATGGGTGCCTCCTAAAACCATAGTACAAAAATAACATTTAAGCCTAAGGCAAGTCCATGGTGACTAATTCAAAGCTCAATGAATACAAAGAGGATTTATTTACATACATTTGCTTCATACATCTGAATCATCTCAGTTATTGTTGAGGTTAAAATAAAATAAGTAAGATTACTATGATGTGGGATGATGATTTATTATTTTGAAATTTTAAATTAAATCTTAGCAGTCAGACAGGAAGCAGAGAAATTAGGTTTCAAGTTATATCTTCTTTTCATTTAGTGAGACCATTTTTAAAAATTATTATTTATAAGTATTACCAAAAGATTTGAACTTTATTTGGCAATGGAGGACGCTGAGAAGATACATGTTTAAAAACGCATGCAGTAATTGATAAAAATGGTAACAGAGGAAGCGTGCAGGTATAAGTATGAGAAATGATTGGGTGACACAACATAACACACGTCAACAAAACATTGAAGCTGAAAATTGATTAATCTATATCCCTTTTGCTTTTCTATTTTAAGCTAAATCTTTTCAGTTATGTAACTTTTTCTTTTTCATTGATGAACTGGTTATCACTATGCCATTATTCAATAATCTCTGTATCAGAACATTTTGCAGTATTATAATTAGCTTAATTTAAGGAAAGTTTTCACATTGTATCTAAAATATCAGGTTAACTTAATGAACTCAGAGCAACAGTGAAATATTCTTTTAAAAGGATAATAGTTATAAGTATTTTTTGTGTTCTTATTAGTCAGTATGTTAATCACCGTGTATGATTAAAGGGTAAAAAAAAGAAATATTTTAAAAAATTGTTGTCAATATAACTCTAAATTAATAATAAAAGTTTCGAAAATCCTGGATCAAGTTAAAAATATCAATTCATAACAACTAAATTTTAGATCAAAGCCATGCAAATGTTCTTTTTGAAAAAGTGTAACATAATTTGTAGCAAACAATGAGGAATAATAAATAATTATGAAAAAAACAAAACAAATATGTTGGTCCCAAGATGCTTTTAGGAAAGTGGAAGCTTTTGATGCTATACAAAATATGACAGTGGAAGTCACGGCTTCAAGCTTTAAGAAAAATACATTGCCTTCTCCTTAAGACTGGCCAGATTTTCATCAAACTTCTTCACATTAGGAATTTGGTGTAAGACAGCAAATGGAGTAATATTACTGGGCTGCACCTTTTTTAACTCTTCCTCTCTGGATTTATCCTCATTTGATAATATCCCGGGCAAGATGAATATGGCAACTACCACAGTGCACAGTAGCAGTATTCCAATCACCATGCGCTGTAACGTAGACAAGCGCCGCCACGACTGAAAATAAAAAAAATTACCTTTAAACAATATGGGTAGAAGTTGTGCGCTATGATAAACCTATATGGAAATAAAAACATGCTGAGACTTATTTGACTTAAAAAACTGCTCTGCTTGATGATTGTTTTTTTAAGCCCCTGATTTTGTTCGATGAATACTATTTTGTTTAATAATGTCCCAGTTTTTGCAATAATTATTTAAAATTTAAAAAATTAAATAAAAATCACAAATTTGTTTTTCTCATAATTAAGTAGAAATCTAATTATATTTTGGGTTTTGGTTTGAATTTTAATTACATGAAATATACATGTCAATTTTTCAAATAAGTTTTTTTATCTGAATTTAAAATCTCAACATGGCTTCAAGTTTGAATTCCTTAGCAAATAGAATTGGGAATATATATCTTTTTTTTTTATATTATAGGAGAAGTTAGAATAAGTGTATGGTGAAATGAAACATAATACATTAGTTGTAGAGGAAATAGTAGAACAAGATGTGATACATTTGTTGCAGAGGAAATAGTAGAAAAAGATATGATACATCTTGAAATGAAAAGACAGGGCAGTCAAAAGAATGTTTCAGCTGGATATCTTCTTCAGCAGACAAAACAAAAAAAACAACAAAGAATAGAGTTGTATCATTGTGACTAAATGGATGCTGCATGATAGGAAAAGCAGAAAAACAAGTGTTTGAATATAAGGCTCGAGATGAGTGAGAATTCAAATTCAAAGACTTATAGTGACAGAATGAGTTATGTGTTAGAGCTGGATAGGCAGATCTCAATTTATAATTGAGTTCTGTTCCTAAAAGCCATTCTTTCTTTCTTTTTTCATTATTCATAAAACCACCTAAATATGCCCTTTATGTGTATACCATGCAATCCTATATGTTATTTTCACATGCAATGGGCATTGTATTAAATATTTAAAAAGTGTGTTTTATTTAAACAATGCACTATGAACATAAAAGAAAAGGTGAAAAAATATTAACAGAAATCAAGAAAACAGTAAAAAGTTCATTTTGGTTAAAACCTTTAACATAATTTTTTTACATTTTACAAAAATCTAAAAATTATGATGGTCGTAATAAGGAGTATATATAAATCAATCATTCATAAACCAAGAACCATCTCTAAATGAAATATAAGGCACTAATTGTACTCACTCTAAGAATAGACTGTCTTTTCCTTGTGACATCTCCAATAGAATCACTGTAGAGTCCCAAATTTATAGAAACATCTCTTTTGAATGCAGCAGACATTATAAAGCCTTTTTGAATTTTTTAAAATTGATATTTAGAGATCCTCATTTAATGGACTCTCAAATATTTATCAAAATTAAACTAAATACAAATGGGATCTTAATAATCCAAATAATCAAGTGATGCAGTCCCTGAATGATACATTCTACTGGAGGCCTGTAAAAAGAAATATTTTAAAATGCTTGATCAACTGCATAATAGAGATCTTGTTTTATTATAAAATATTTTACTGAAAACCTGTAACCATAGTATGAGCAGCCTAAGTATCTCATCGGATAGATAAAAAAAAGCAGAGACAGTAGTCAAAATTAAATGGGTATTAGGTCATGACAGAATGTTCTACATTAATGAGAATTTAATATAAAATCCTTTATATTAGCCTCGATTTTGTTAGTGTGTTTCTCTCTTTCTGGGATGGTGGCAAAATCTTTGGAAGGCTAATAGACCCACTTCCCGTCAACCTATCAAGCTAAAACTTGGCACATAGACCCGTTGCAGATGACCAAATATTCTATGAAATTTTCATCCCAAACCCCAGTAATCAAGTTTTTCCTGTTTTTCAAGGTTAAGATGAAGGAAATATGATTCCATCCACGTTACGAAATAAAATTTCAGACAACTGCGGTAAATGAGATTCATAAAAATATTGCAAGTGCGTTTGGTGTGTGATAATTTCTTTTGTTTTTCTAAAAAATGTACCTAAAGTATTTATATGAAAAAAAATTGTCATTAGAAGTTGTTTAATTTGTTTTTAGGGGTTGTTTAATTTTAGTATATTTTTAGCAGCCATTTTGAAACAAGGAAGAAGATAAAATTAAGAAAGATCATGAGAAATAGATAAAGGCATTAGCTTGAGATTAGATGAAAACTGAAATTTGTCTTGAAACTTAAACGACTTGGAACTCGAAAAGGGTTCAGGAAAGGATTAAGTTCAGATTCTAAGGCCAAGGTCTTACTATATTATGGTGGTATGGTATATGTGTAGGCCTAATTTTAGCCACCACCACTTATCTCCCCTTATTTGTTTTGATATTGGCATCACCCAGTAAATGTGCTGTGTCATTCCCAACCCACCCCACCCTTGTTTGGGAAAATGTTGCTTACGTTTAAATGCTTTCTGTTTGTTCTAATGAATGCTATTAGGTGACGCAATTTCTAGAATTTCTTTACTACATTGTTCTGATTTAATCCCTATAAGTAGGCCGGCAGATTTCTTAGCATAGAGAGAGAGCGAAAGAGAGATTTTCGCTATATTTCTTAACATAGACAAGACGTTATATAATTGTGTGTGTGTAAATTAATATTTGTATTTTTGAGGAGAGTGCCTTTTCACTTTATGTGGTGTACTGTACGTTTATATTTCTTTTTTGTTTCTCCTTTCGAATTTGTGTTTTTATAGAAATTTAATAGTATAATTAAAATGATTATTTTTAGTATCAATAGCTTTGATATAGTTATTTTTGCATAGTGTTTTTCTCAGTCTTTTATTATGTATTGTTTATTTATGAACCCAAATCTTAACAAATATTAAATTTTCAAAACAGAGCATCAAATTGGTTCACAAGAAGTAGAAGTATAAGGTTAGTAATTTGATTTTTTTAAAACAATTTCACTGCTTACTAGATTGTATGCTCTTACGAATGTCTTGAGATTTTCAGATTAATAAGATTGACCAGTGAAAGAGAAACTGGATGTGGTGAATTTAATTTTTTTTAAATATCAAATCCTAGAATAAAATTATAGACTATAGATACCTCAGCTTAATAGTATTTAAAAGACATTTTTAAAATGTTAAGTAGTTAAGTACAATCAAGTTGAAAACTTCTTTAATACATAATAGCAGTGGTGTTGGAAGGGGTTGCAGAGAGGGCAGTCTGAACCAGCTGGCATGTTTTCTGCACCGGGCGTCACATTTTTCTTTATATCTTTATAATAAGCATTTTATGCCATTTGCATTTTTTTTTTCATGGAAGGGTGGTAAAAAAACTTGAACCCAGCTAGGTGGCACTTACCCTAGCAACGCCACTGCTTTCTTGTTAAAGTTAAACCAGTAAAACAAAAAGCACACAGTAACAATGGATGACATACTGATTACTGTAATCTAGTCACCTACTCAGCCTACTAATGCACATGTAAGGGGCCATCTATAAATAATGTCATGCTATTAACCCCCAAATAACCCCCCTCCCCTACTACTACTATACTGTAATGTACTTGTACTTAATTAATAAGTAGGTGACTAGTTAATTAGTGTCATCATAAGTAGTATAGTTAATAGTAGTATAGTATAGGTAGTACAATATTATGAATATATTGATATTGAATATCAGTCAGTAAGTAGGCTAATGACTATTACTATACTTTACTATATTTAATGACTAGTATACTAGTAGTGCTAGAAGTAGAAGTAGTTTAGTACTAGTAGTATAAGTATAAGGTATAATAATATAAATATAATGAAGTAATAATAATGAGCTGGACAATTTTGAAAATGCTTTCAAAATACTTTCATTTCAATGTAAATGTAAATTCATACTCAAACTAATATTTTCAAGAATTTTATCTCAGCTACTCAGTTGTTTAACCACTTAAGAGTTGCAAATAGAATTAACGATTTTTAAATTATTGTTATTTTTTTATTTTTTTTTTGCAAGTTTAATTGTGATAAAAAAATTACCGTTTATAAAAATGAATTCAACTATAACTTAGTATAACCATCCATTAAAATGTTTCTGTTCATGGCTAACAACTTCATAAATAAATATCGATATTTTTTAACCGATGGTATTTTTGACATTCATTGTTTCAGCGATTGGAATAGAGACGAAGTAATACAGTTATTATAAAATACTGCCAATACATTTTTATTAAGATTCTTTAAAATATCTCTTGACTCAACTATTTTTTGCGCTATAACTTAAGTATAATTCTTAATTAATATTTAGCAGGAAATATAACTTGCTGTTGTAGGTTTCTTTAACTAATCGATACCAACCAAACAAGTCAGTGTTTTCTGAGTTTCATAGAGTTATTTCCCTTCAATCTTTGGTTGATGTGTACTCTTTGAAGACCAAAAATATCAACTGGCAAATAAGACGACGGGGTCTATTATAATTGGTAGTTTCCCCATCTGGTTGAAGATGGCGGAGTGGCTGAATTTCGTTCCGCCATTGTTACTATTAATGGTTTGTTAGTTTCTTGGCTTTTCAATAAATTAAATAAATGGCCTACTACACTACACACTCTTGACTTAATACCTTCACTTAAAATCATTACTTGCTGTCAAGTCAATGTAACAAGTTAATTTAATTAATTACTCACTTAGTGAAGTGATAAGTCTCTCAGTATCAGTCACAGAGTCACTGCTGCAGACGGTTGCCTACCAGTGACCAGGTACTAGGCCTAGGCCTAGGTATTTCAGTTTTTAAACAAATAAATATATGTAGCATAGAGCAAACTTTAAATAAAACCAGAATCAACTTCCTATTCCTAGCTTTAGTCTTTGGTACTTTTTGAGGTAATCTACCACTTGCATGTCGGCCAAGAAAAAATCCAGTTTTCCAGTTGGAAGGGCTATTCAAACAACTATTCTTACATTGGAGTCTGTTAATATTTTTGCTATTGTATAGAGGCTATAAAGTTATATACTGTAGCACAATACTAATACATTTAAATAATTATTACTATTACTGCCAAGCTACCGATATGCCAGGAAGAAAAAGAGACAACATTTTTTTTTTTTTTTTGATCCAGATGACGCGGATGTCCACACACAGAATGTGGAAAACATGAATGCTCAGAAAGCGTAAACTAAAAAGACAGTTTGGCACAAGAAGTGCCGGTGATCTTTCCCCTTCATATTTACGTGGATTCATGTACCACAACCGTTTTCATGGAAATTATATTTTTTTAAACTTCATTGTCAACTTGGGGGAGAACTATGATAACTATGCATAATTCCATTTTCACACATTATCTTCTATTTCAAAAAAATTATTAACGTTTTTCTATTTTTAAAAAAAATTGTCTATTTTGGGAATGAATACGTACAACCAATGTCATTAAAAATAATATAAGAAAAGTTGTTTAAATAGCCCTTCTTACCGGAACATAGGATTACCCTTTTTGAGCTATGAATTTTTAAAGTTAAAGAGTCGCTTTTGGCCTTTGCTGAGCCTTTTGGACCTTTGTAATTTTTTTTACGACTAGAGTTGACTCTACTAAACTATACTATGACTATAATAAGGGATTACAGAAGGTCCTCATTTTACAGCAGATTTGATGTTACAGCAGTTGTTTCCAGGCATTCAAAAAAATGTACTCGTTTTGTATAGTATTAGATTTTGGCAATCCTCCAAAGTCCGGTCCCAAATTATTTTGTATGAAAAAAATTGCAATGCACAGTGTGTTTGTTAGAAAACAGCAGAAATGTCAGTCATAGCTTTTGCAAATAACTGTCACTTTACAAACCAGTCAGTAAATACTAAATATTGTAATTGGTGCATAGCATTTGCAAATAGCAGCCGAAAACGTTCTGCTTGTGACTGTTGCGCCACTGAAGGCTCCAAGTAGCTGGCAAATAGCCAGCGACTAGTACCACTCTGATAGCGGGGTTTACGTTTTGCCTGCATCCAAAGTCCTTCAATAATTTATGTGTGAATGTCCTGGTCTACTGGGTCAACAAATTCAGGCGCGTGCACAATGACAGCGTGAGCATAAATCCCTTTGTTGAGCTGAGCGACATTTTGATATCCTCGCCAAGTTCTGTGACCATAGTTTTCCCTGGCAACATATGATTAGTGATAATGCGCTCGAGTGTTTGTGCATCTCGACGGCCGTCAGCCTCCATTCAACATCGTCCACTAACGCAAACATGAATTTCAAAACAGAATGATGCCCAAGACTTTTAAGTAAGAAGTAATCATTGGAAATAATTTGGGACCGGACTTCAGAGGATTGCCTAGATTTTGGGCATGCCATGAGTAATTAATAGTAAATACTAATGCACGGAATAGCATCCCAATTGACTTAAAACATGACGGAAATGGAACACAATTTTAGGATACGATAATTCTTT